AGCAGGATGTCCAAAGGATGCAAAGTGATAAGACAAAATGCCAGCATAAGCACCACAGTAAACAACAGTCTCTTGGGAATCTCTATCTGCTTTCCTTGAAATCCAGCTTTGTTAACAAACTGTACTTATCAAGCACAAAATGTTACTCTGATTCGGAACCTGGGAATGGAAATGAAGGCAACTTGTACTTACGTAGCTGAGACTTCAGCCTTTCTCCCAAAAGCCTTTTATCTTTATAATAAACACAGGATGAGGGGGGGAGAAAATAGATGGAAAAATAGAAGTAATTTATTCATATCAGGCAGTCTTCCCTACCAGGAATTGGATACAAAAGCTCTATATGCTGTTCTTTCATTCATATGACAAAAACAGGATCCGTATCTTTATCATTGTGCACTTTGGTGTTTTTGTCAATTCAAGAGCTCTTGGCCATTGGAGATGTTACCAGGGATCACTATATGGAAGTAGCTTCTATATGCTGTGAAAGGTAGGGATGACCAAACAATACTTAGCTAGGGACATGTTGGCAGATATTCAGGAGACCCATTGCTGCACTTCATTTTTCAGTCAGAGAAGATTGGAGCCTCCCCATCTCCTAGAAAGTTCAGACCATGAAGGCTACCAGTCCCAGCATATACCTACCCAAATGACGAATCTGTATATATCACTCCATTAAAGATGACCTGCAAAGAAGAAATATGGATGTGTGATGTTTTAGTGGGTTTAGCTGTGCTTTGTTTTTACTATTTTATAATGTTAAAAGTAGCCTGAAGCCTGATTTAAAAAAAAACCCCAAAACAAATCTGTTTACTTTTTACTTTAGAAATATGAGAAATCTCAAGTCTGGTCTCCCTTTGATTTGTCAAAGGATTCACTAATGAATGACAAGTAATGTGTGACGTGTCCATCTGCAGTTGAAAAGGAGGGGGTGTGGGAAAATAATTTTTAACAGAACAGCTTTTTTTCCACGTGTGTATTATGTGTATGAGTCGTATGCCATAGGTAGTCAAACATGAGCAAAATACTTTTAAAGTCTGACTCTCAATCAGATTTCCTGCGCTCAAAGTCTACCATGACTTAACTGAGTTGCCAGTCCCCAACATTTAAAGTTGTGTCAGGGTTGAAAAAAGCATGAGATTTTTAAAAATATCTGCTTTCTGTTTCTCATTTTTGAGCCTTTATGTACAACTTTTTTTTTAAATCTCATGATTCTGAGAGCTAGGGCTTTAAGAAAAAAATCAGGATGGCATTCTATTTCTCCACTCCGTCTAAATGGCAGGCTTTTTAGCTTCCTGAGTAGTATTTTTGGTGCACACACATTGGTAGGGATTATGTTTCCCAGGCATAGAGTCCTGGATGCATGGGTCACTGATTTAAATGTGCATTGAGTGCAAATCCTGGAAACAAAGTAGAGGAGGAGGAGGAGGCAGGTCTTCTCATGTTGTAGCCCCAAGAGCTGAGGTTAGGGCATCTGCCTGAGAAGTCGGAGGTGCAGGTTCCAGGCTGCTGTGCTCAGTAGCAATTTGAAATTGTCCCCCTCTGTCTTCCGAGCAAAGCACACCAGCCATGATGCTTATAGGTCAGGCATTATCCAGGCCTTCTAGTTCTTCTTTTGAACCTGGTTTCTTGGGTAACCAAAAAAAGGGAGGCAAGACTGAAGAAAACAAGCCAGGAAGTGTGTGGCTCATTGAGGTGGCTGCTGCTCTGGAAGGGAGGAGTCCTCAATACTCCCCTGCTCCTAGTGAAGCAGAAACATCCCCACTGTGCTGCTTGCCATCCATTTTTTCCAGCAACTAAGATGTGCAAGGGGCAGTGGCTCACCTTCAAAAGGAGCACCTGAAAGGGCTCTGGGTAGTGTCTGATGTAGCATAGTGATAGAGCACTGTGGTGATAAGTCAGACAAATATAGGTTCAAGTTCCCTCTGGGAGAGAGAGAGAGTGGGCTTCTTGTGCTACCCTCAAAAGGGTCCTAGCCACTCAATTATTGGGGATAAAGTGTGGGAGGGTCCCTGTCTTCCTCTATCTAAGACAGGCTCACTGTGGTTTTGGGCCACCTACATTTGCAGCCTGTGTACGCAAGGGGCATATACATGTGGCTGTGGGCATGCCTGGTAATACTGGCTGTAACCTACTGTGCATGCTTAGTCTGCATGGGCAGGGTGCTTGCCTACTTACCCATCTGCACTGCCAAGAAACAGAATGGCTACGTGTCTGAAATTGCTGGACATGCCATTTAGATGGCTAAGGGTGAAGTTACGTGTTACACTTAAACCATACTAAATCTGTGGAATGTTAAGCTGTGTTAAAGTTAGAATGTGCTGTGAGCAGTTGCATGTTAAGGGTTAATACCGTTTCTTGCCTGCACAGCTCTGACTTGTCACTAGAGGGCTAGTGAGCAAGCATGTAGCTAGGAACCAGGACACCTGGGCTGTATCCCTGTGGGGGGGAGGTGCAAGTTTGGGAGCAGTGCATCCTGAGATACTTACTATAGGACTGCAAATGACTTATTTTATCTCAGTGGAGAAGTTACCCTTATACAAGCTGGGTAGCATGGCTCAGAGTTAACCCTCACCTGATGCAGTGTAACTTTGAGACACTCAGAGGCATTTAGCACAAGTAAATGTGCTTTAGTGTGCAGGCCCCTTGTGTTTTAAGTGCCCTTAATATGATCAAATGTGTCATGTGTAATGTCACTCTAAGAAATGGCCACTTAGCCAAGCAAAGAGAAACAGAATGTCCTATACCGCACCCTGTAGCCCCAGGTGTCCTGAGACAATTGCAAGAATTGCCATAATCACACTGTCGCCATCTTTAAAGTCTTACCAAAAAAAACTGGGAAAATAAGACATGGCTTTCTTATGGTAAAACATGGCTGAACAGGAAAATAGTAATATCAAGAGTGTTTAGCCTCTTCCTAAGTGATAAGGAAACAGAGGAGGCACAAACAAAATATTGGTCCAGGCTGCCTATTGCCCCGGGCTGCCTCATGAAACCCCATGGGTTGCTTGCATCACATTGCTTCTTAACTTCCTACTGTTACTATGGCTATCAGCCAAAATCCTGAAACAGCATTTACTTTAGCTGGAAACACATTGTTGGAACGCCCTCTCCTAAGTAAAGCAGTGTTCTAATACCACTGGGAAAGCACATTTCAGCATTGTATGCTAGGATTATATGCTGTGGTGGCTGCAAATGGTGCAGGCAAAAGCTGTCTAGACACCCAAGTACATCTGCCCAGACCTACTAATGTCCTCATTTCCCTGGTGAGCATGTTGGAGGACAAATGTTCCGAGTCATTGATAACCTGGTAATCATAGTTCTTGGGCTTTGCTGATACTTATGCTTTATTTTTATTTTTTTTCCCTTTCCTTTTTTCCCCCTCCCATTATGATACTGGCAGCAAACCCTGGAGACGAATCTTGCTAACTTGGTTAAGCGCAATAGTGAACTAGAAAACCAGATGGCCAAGCTGATACAGATCTGCCAGCAGGTGGAGGTATGTGATAGCAATGTTTCTGCAAGTGTGGGTAACTGATGGGAAGGGCATATGCATGTTGGCGGATGGGATAATTGCCTGGAAGTCAAGAACACTCCTTTAGAAGAGAAAGAAGAATGAATTAGGGTGATGATTATATAGGGAAGGAATTATTGTGGTTAGTGGGATAAAATTTCAAAAAGACCTGTTCAGCCTGATTATGCCAGGCCTTGGCAGTGAGATGTATGGGACTACAAGTCGGTATCCTAAGGAAATGAACAGAAATCCCATTGTTAGATTCATTTAAATCTAGGCGGGACAGACAGTCATTGAACACACTACATTGTAGTGTGCAAACTGCCCTGCCTGTGGGTGAAACAGCCTAATATTGCATTCCTTTAGGCTGAAAGGGTTGTACATTATTTTCTCATAGGTGCTAGGAAGCTAGTGTTAGCATTGGTGAAAGAAGTATGGACTGGGCCCCAAGAGGTCTGTTACGCCACCTCTTCTCTTTCATAATTTGTCAAATGGCATGAAAAAAAAAGGAACGTGTGCAGGGAAATATGAAGAGATTGTTTAGCAAAACAAAGGGGTTAGAAGTAGTTTAGCCATTTCCAAGAAGAATGCTGAGAGAAAATATCAGCAGACAAGGTTCCTTGCTGAGAGAAAATATCTTGGTTTATGTTAATTCCTGGCAACCTTTTCTTTAAGAAGCACCAGAGCTTCTGTGCTTTGGAACAAGAACCTGAAATTTGAAAGGAGATAACCTTTGTGTCAAGGGCCTGCATTTTTATATTTAAAAATGTGCCCATAGTTAGTTAAGTTGTAAGCTTTTGAAACATAGAGCAGTTCTCACCTGCTCAGTACAGAGTTGCTAGAGCAGGGGCAGGCAATTATTTTGGGTGGAGGGCTGCTTTACAAGTTTTGTCAAGCTGTTGAGGGCCGCATGGGTATCCCCACTTCTTGACAGGCACGATGCCTCCTGGTCTCCATCTTGGGACTGGAGGTCCCGCTCCCTACCCCCAACCTCTGCCATCAGCAGTTCCTCCCCTTGCCTCTGGAAATACTCCTTTCAGCAAGGGATTTTGCCATCTCAGAACCAGAAAAATACCAAATTGTATTCTAAAAATAAAACATCTACAACATTCATTAACTTGATTTCAAAAAAATATTTTTCATCCTGATTTACTTGTATTTGTGTAGTGCACATAGAAGTGATTGCACAATAGCTTAAAATGAAATCTTACTCTTGTATATTATGGGGGGGGGCGCATGGGAGTGGGTATAGTTTTGTAGGGGACTGTGGGTGTGTGGGGTGTAAGGGTGTGGGTGTGTGGGGCGGGTTGTGGAGAGTGCATAGGTGTGGGGGTGGGGGTATGGAGTGAGGGAGCATGTGGGTGTGAGGGTGTGGTTGTGTGGGGGAAGAGTGGCTGGAGTGTGTGAGGGGGTGTGGGTGTGGGGATCTGCATGTATGGCAGTGTGAGGGGGGGTGTTGGTGCATGTGTATGGTGGCGTGTGCATGTGGGACTTGCCCTAAGAACACACACACACACAATCACACACTCGCTCTCTCCTTCCCTCACTGCACACACACACTCTGTGCCTCCCTCACTGCTCTCTCTCTCTCTCTCTCTTTCTCTGCCCCTCCCATTGCACAGACACACACACTGTCTCTCTCCCTCCCTCATTGCACACACACACACTCTCCCTCCCTCATTGCATGGACACACACACACGCCCTCCTGCTTGTGGCCCCAGGGTACCAGTGTGGGCCCCATGCTTCCATGGTTTGGCCAAGTAACCGGAGTCCAGGTGGTGCTGGAGTGGCTGGCATCATTCAGGGAAGCAGTGAAAGCAGCAGCAGGCAGAGGCTTTCTGCTGGGTCCTGCTGGCTTCCCCTGGGTCCTACTGCCCGTGGCTCCTGTCATCTTTGACAGGCAGCCAGGAGCAGATAAATATTAATTTTATAAATTTCTTGGGGGCCCTTTGGGCCGGATAGAACGGCCTCGTGGGCTGGATCTGGCTCGCAGGCTGTATTTGCCCACCGCTAGTGTATAAAATGGACTTTATCTGGGGTTGAACCAGGACTATGTAGTGAGGGAGGCTGCTCTCTGCAATTGAAGTCAGCTATTCTTTGAACATACAATGTACTATATAATGCTGCATATGCCAAAACATACTTAGCTATCTTTGCTTGGGCACACAGATTTGTGAATATTTCGTATCTTAGTCTTTTTGTTTCTCACATTCTCTTCTGGAAAATGCAGATACCTCTTCATTTGACAGGGTGTTGTAAAAATAAATACATTGCTTGTGAAGCATTGGGATGAGCAGCGTAGAAAAGGCCACAAGGAAATTCATAGTTTGGTCTTCAAAGCAGAATTGGAACAGTGTGTTACAAATAAGGCCTGGGTCAATGCATTAAACAAGGATGAGGTAAAATATGGAGTGTCTGTTCATTAAGCAAGCACCATCCACCCTACATATGAAATTATAACTGCCAGTATACAATCATTTAATTAAAGTTTGCATCCAAATGTATATGGATACATGAGAATGAATTGAGGTTATCAAAGAAGCCTTACTACTCTTCTGAGTGTTTGACTTCACAACCTCTGAATACTTTTAACAGTTCTTTTATATGAGGCGCTGGAGAAAATGTGAAGCAATGGGAGAAAGATGCTGAAAAAATTAGTGCATAGACTAAGGAAAGAATTAAAGATAAATGAATATCTGCAGTCTGAGGAAAGCAAGACAGAGGGTGACGGATAACTCTTTTTAAGTGTTTGAAAGGAAGCCACATAAAAGATACAGAAGTTTATGGTAGTGAAATGAGTGGAATATTATCAGTAGTAGTGGCCTGGAACAGATGAGGGGTGGGTTTCAGGTGGAGTTCATCCCCATTCCAGTAGGGGGAATCAAACAGAGATTGACAGCATGGAACTTTTCAATGGCTGTACATGCACAAGGGTTTGGTGCAGTAGATGTCTGCATAAATGTCACAGACCAACAGAACAGATCAGAAGATCTTTCACCACTGAAGAAGGGGAGGGTGGAAAATGTGCTGTGTGACCAAGGCAAGTTTCTCCTTATAGCAAGCGTAGGCAAAATACAACCCATAGGTCTTTGTCAAGCCCACAGCAGGTCCCTCGGTCTCCTGGCTCAGGCACAGCCCAGCCAAGGCGTGTTCTGCCACCCCCTCGGTACATAGTGGAGCTGGGGTGGCTCTGTGGCTGGACTGCCATTCTAGGTAGCCCAGGTTGCAGGTGGCTCCTTCTGGCTGACGCTGCCACTGGCCCTAGCTGTCCAGTACTGGCAGGGACCCGTGCTACACAGCCCTGACCCTGTGCACCCTTCACCTGCTCTGGGCTTACCTGCCCATGCTCAGCAGTGGCAGTGCAGGACAAAATCTGTTGCTCACTGTGGGGAAAATGGGCCATTCCCCGCTCTGCTGCCAGCAGTTCCCTGCTGCAGCCACCCAGAGCCTGCTCGGGGCTACCCTGCATCTCTGCTGCTGTCACCGCCACCTCCAGGCTTCTGCACGGGGCAGCAGTGGCAACACAGGGCAAACCAGCATGGACTCCAGGCAGCTGCAGCAGGTAACTGTTGGCAGTGGGAGGGGGAGGGGCTGCTTTTCATAGATTCATAGATATAGGGTCAGAAGGGACCTTGCAGATCTTCTAGTCCGACCCCCTGCCCTGGACAGGAGAGAAAAGTGGGCTCAAATGACCCCAGCTAGGTAATCATCAAGCCTCCTTTTAAAGACCCCCAGGGTAGGAGCCAGCGCTACTTCCTTTGAAAGTTGATTCCAGATTCTAGCCGCCCTGACTGTGAATTAGTGCCTTCTAATGTCTAATCTGAACCTACTCTCTAACAACTTATGGCCGTTATTCCTTGTTACTCCAGGAGGTGCTCGGGGGAACAAGGTCCCCCCCAGTAAGTTTATAGATGGCCACCAGGTCCCCTCTCAGCCTTCTCTTGTGAAGTCTGAACAGGTTAAAGTCCCATACCCTCTTCTCATAGGGTCTGCCCTGATGTCCCTGGACTATGCGAGTGGCCCTCCTTTGGACCCTCTCAGTGCTGTCCACTTCCCTCCTGAAGTGCGGCGCCCAGAACTGGACGCAGTACTCCAACTGCAGCCTAACCAGTGTTGCATAGAGGGGTAGGATCACCTCCTTGGCCCTACTTGTGATGCATCTGTGGATGCACGACAAGCTGTAGTTTGCCCTATTGACCGTGTCCTCGCATTGGCGGCCCATGTTCATCTTGGAATTGATAATGACTCCAAGATCTCTTTCTGCCACTGTGCTTTCGAGAAGAGTGTCCCCCAGCCTATAGGTATGCTGCTGGTTCTTACTGCCCAAGTGCAGCACCCTGCACTTGTCAGTATTGAATCCCATCCTATTCTTATTTGCCTACCCCTGCAACCTGTCCAGGTCCAGCTATATCCTGTCCCTCCCTTCTCACCCAAAATCTTGTTGTCATCCGCAAATTTAAACAGGGTGCTTTTCACCCCCTCCTTCAAGTCGCTAATAAAGAAATTGAACAGTACGGGCCCAAGGACCAAGCCCTGGGGGACTCTACTGCTCACATCCCCCCAGGTCAAATATGACCTATCCACCACCACTCTCTGAGTGCGGCCCCTCAGCCAATTTGCTTTCCATCTGACTGTGTAGGCATCAATGCCACAGTCGTTTAGCTTTTTAATGAGAATAAGGTGGGAGACAGTGTCAAAGCCCTTCCTGAAGTCCAGAAAGACTACATCCACCGTGACTACTCCATCTCATGATTTTGTGACCTGATCATAGAAGGCAATCAGGTTGATCTGACAGGACCTGCCCCTAATGAAACCATGCTGGTTGCCCCTGAGCATCATCCCTGCTGCTGGCCCTTCACAGATGTGCTCCTTGATAATCTTCTCAAAGAGCTTCCCCTGGATCGAAGTAAGACTAACAGGCCTATAGTTGCCCGGGTCCTTCCTCCTCCCTTTTTTGAAGATGGGGACCACATTGGGCCTCTTC